GCGAAACTTATCGGAGATCATTTCTTTTGCGCTCTTCAATTCATTCGGAAAATTTTATGGAAGATGAATATCAGACTTTATTTGAAGTCTGGCATTCACTTATCTCACCATTCTCATACCTTGAGAACGTCGTAAGCAAATGTCCATATAACAAATAGATTATTTCATATGGCCAATATCTTGAAATGCTGTTAATGAGTACTTTAGTTAAAGAAATTTTCTATTCAGCCTACGCTGGTCTATCAAAATATTTCTCGAGCGCTTAATTTCTTTAAATAATACAGGCAGGGACAATATCACTTTTTTATATTATCTACCTGATTATATGAAACTTTTCTAGCCATTATAAAAGACGTTTTCAGTCTCGAAGTCAGAAAAGGTTGGTGTACGGAAACCAAACATCGAAAAGTATAAACTCGTCAGTTCATCTGTTTTTGGTGATTCAGCAGATTGTTAATCATGTTGTCGACCTGCTTTTTCACTAAGCACCAATGCAATATAGTCTGTTGCAATATAAGATGATCAATTCAATATCTGACTTGAGCGCGAGCTATCTACCTTCCGTACCGCTCGGTGCACGCACAGCCAAGGCACAGCTGCAGGCAACGAGCGCACGCTGCAGGCGGAGCTTGTCCTGCTCTTTATTTTTTTTTTTTCTTCTGAAGACTTGGTCCGCGGGTATGGCCGTGGACAATGGTGCTCCTCCCTGTGCATCAGCGCAGTTGTTTCACCGCCGAACCTGGCCGAAGTTAACGATGGACGGAATCAGACGCACATAGTGTTCGTAAAAAAAGATCGCAATTTAGGCTCGAAACCCCTTCGTGGCTTGCCAAGTGGCTCAACAGTATTGTTTCATTCGCTGTGTGCTACAAGAAAAAAATTTATATCGCAAAATTAATCGAAAGTAGCATGAAACAGCATCACAATCGCGTGCACGTTGAAACCGAAACCGACCAAAATGAAGCAACCTAATGGCGGCGAGCGCGCCAGCGCCCTCTACCCGCCGGTCAGGCAGCTACTGAAATGAAAAGGTCTATAGGGTATGGGACCTTCAGCATATGTTTTGATTTACTTGTTGTCCCTGCCACCCCGCCTGATGGCTAATGAACACAATGTAATAAAATGAAACAGGCGAAACCAAAAAAAATAAAAAAAAACGAAAACACGAATTCCGCACAAAAAACAATGCTTCTCCAAAAGAAAAAAAAAAAAATATTGCATCACCTACGTTTTATTTTCGTTTTTTTTTCTTTTTGCAAATTTAGAAATTTTAGCTGATTGTTTCTTAGTTTTGCCTCATTTCAGCGAAAGAGAAAGTGACTTTTTTTAACTATATTTTCTGAAAAACGCGGGAACGTGAACCACATCAAACTGCTTCAACTGGTTAGTCTTCTCGCGCGTGAAGGGCAAAGAGAGAGGGATGTAGGCGGCGTCCATAGCAACGGTTATATTTGCCTCAACTATGCTGATGGTCCAGGGGCTAAAGGTAAGGGAATCCGAATGTACAAACTGCAGCTCCGCTTTACGTGAAGCAAGCGCTCCGTGAAGTGGAACTGCACTTTTAGTATGAAGCGAATCTGCTTATCGAGTATGCAACTCGAGCAACCACTCGAGCTGCATACCCGAATAAGAAAAGCTTTATTTTACTTCCATTAGTCTAGAAACCAACACGCGTTGGATCTACGTGCATTCGTGAAGTTCCACTCCAGAATGCACGTTAAGGGGGAATTTTAATATATTGTTCTGTTACCTACGATAACGATACCCAATACTTCGCCAACGGATTTGCGCCTGTGCCGTATCGTTATCGGGCATCGTTACCAGGGGTAAGAGAACGATCTGCTAAAAATAGTCCAATAGCCCCAACTAAGCAGTTGCGCAGCACCAACCAAACTGCCTCATGACAGCGGAGAGAGACGCGAATTCATTTTGAAGGCAGATATATCAGAAATTTATATCACAATGCACCACGACAAGATGACGCAGGAAGCAGTAACAAATCTTCGCACGTTCATCGTGATTTGTTTCACAACATGTCCTTCCCCTACGGTCTAGAGATACACAAAAATAAACCAAGTTGAGCAATTTCGATGAAAGGACAATCTTTAAATAAAAATAAGAATAAAAACGTACTTGTAGAGTTCGAGGCTTTGCTCGTTAATAAAAGATTTGTCCGAAAGAAAGTGTCCAAAAATGCATACAAATATCGAGCCGTAATCTTCACCGTCACTTTTTCGCTTTTACTCTTTGCCTCTCCCCGTTCTTCTGATGATGCTCCTGTCTCTCGGTTTGAAGCGAAGAAAATGCTCATGACACGACAATGATGATGATACTGTGCCGGCAACGAGTTTTATATTTAACCACTCGCGAAGCAGAAGGAAACAAAAAGACGACAAAACGAGAAAACTAAAAATAAGAGCAGCTCTAAAAAAAAAAAAAAATGAACTGGCTATTTAGAAACGGGAATCGAGTGCAGCTAATCGGACCTACTTTGCGAAATAAATGAAAAGGAGGATATAGAAAAGAAATTTCCTCATAAAACAAAAACAAGGCAACCAGGAAACATAACGTAAAACTGCGGTTCTCTCAAAACGTGAAAGAAAACAAAAAAGATATCACTACTCGAAGTGCCATAGGAATGTTGATAGGTCGGGGAGCTGGATGTCGAATCTTGGTTTCGCCGGTCTCAAGATAAACGAAAATAGAACACTAACATGCCTCTGAGGAGTTCTGCAAAATGGCCTTACAAAACCTAAAGAAAAAGAAAAAAGATCAATACGCTGGCTAGAGTCTAGAACAGCCGAAAGCATTTTATATATATATATATATATATAATATACATATGGTATTCTGCGTTAAAAAGTTAATTAACAAATTTTAATTAATTAGCCGACTTATTGCAAAGATTTGTACCCCACATTATGTCCCCCTGGCAGTGTAACCCATCTGCACAAACCGCATAAGTGTAGCTTTCACGGCTTTTTTAAAACGAATCTGAAAGAATAAAAACAAAAACCACCCTGTATATATATATATTATTCAGTAAGGTCACAGCAGATATGTAACCGTTGCTGATATAAAGTCACTCGTAAGTCAATCGAAAGATAACTAGGTACCCTAATTATTACTGCGACTCAAAAGGAGCACGTTAGCTCAGTTTGGATGTAGCGGGTTCTTTTCTGGTTATTTGGAACATCTTTATAAAGCAGTGGCCGCACCCCAACATTCGTCGTCGTTAATATTTTATTTTTCTTATCAGCGCGTTCCTTCAGAAATAACTGTGGCTATACTGACAAATCTTATGAATATTTTTGTAACGTTCAATCTAGTGTTTTTAGTCGTTTAAATTTCAGGCGCCGAGCTGGGCGCAACACAAATACTCAACACCTGTGTTGGGTATTTGTGTCGTACACGCTCCCTTGCGGAAGTAACAAAATACCGTTACTCGTTATTTCATCAAAAATTAACAGAATACGTTACTCGTTCCTTCTCTTAAAAAATAACTAGGTCATTATTTCGTTCGTGAAAAAGTAACTAGTTACAAGTAACGCGATACTTTTAACGCGTTACGTACAAGCCTGGGCAAGAGTATGCAATAAAAATTCAATATTTTAATGCCGTCCAAAGGTGCACTCAAGTGCTTTTTGTAGAACCTTGTTCTTGATGACAAGGTACCACAGAGTAAACTCACAGCAATAGAAATACATAGGCATTATCTTCTCTGAGTAAAAAAAAAAGGGGGGGGGGGGCAGCGCATACTCAGGCAACCATTACAACCATCGAATTTGTCCAATGAAAATAGTAAATTGCGTGGAGATTTTCGAACGTTACTATTCTTGCTCTTCTTAGGCTCCTTGTGCATTATATTTTGATACAAACGTCAATTCTATGGGTGTGGGAGACGCAATATACCAATTTTTGTTTAAAAACGCCGTCAAAGAGCGCCCCCCGGTGTCTGTTTTAAGGTGCAGAAAAAGAGACATTTCAAGACATATAATTAGATGTTGAATAAAGAAATCGGCTGCCCATGACTGTAATTTCAGGTTTTTGGGGTGCTTACAGCCCTTAAAATGAGTTATAACCATAAATACACCATTTCAACATCCACTTGAGTGCCCTTACAAGTTGACAGAAGTGGATATATCAGAAACAAAAGAAAATACTTAACTGCTTAAAACAATTACATAAATTCCAGAAATTAATAAAGCTATATTTATTGTCACTAATGAAGGCGACCAAAGGATGAACAGTGAACTGAAAATAAAGGGTTAATCGGCGAACTTGTACCAAAGAAAAATAGGCCGAGCGCTGGGGCAGCAGAAAAGCGGACGGCAATTTGGCGGCGTAGCAGCAAGTAAGAGCGTGACTGACTCTACAAGGTCGCGGACAGCTTCTTATCTACTGTGCGTCACTATCTTGAAAATTCAGCAAAAAAGATTCCAGCGTCGCACGCTCGGGGCGAGAATGAACAGGCACTTTCGAGAACAAGAAAGCAGAACGAAGTGATAAAAGTTACGTCCTGAGCAAGAATAAACGCGAATCTTGAATCTTCTAGAAGTCCGTGACCGAGCGTTGCATTCTCGACCATGCGGGCGGCAGTGCTATGCGTGTTTTCTCTTTTAAACTTCTTATAGACATTCATCACATGATTACACTCAGAGTTGGAGTTCTGCTAAAAATATTGAAAAAAAAACATTTAAAATAGTTTGCATTGGATATCCATCAACCGCCACCAATCAAAAGGGATAGTATCTTGTGATTAAGAACATCCAATATTTTATGGATTCCATTTACGTTGCCTGTATGGAACATAAATAATATATGTTGAACTAAAAATGGAGTTGCTTTCAAAAAGTGTGGGAAAGGTTAAACTCGTGACCAAGTAATAAAGGATATGAAACGGCAATTATGGGGGATGACACATACGTTAGATGATTTTAAAGCCGCAGTAGAGGCAACAATGTTATTGTGTGCGGCTGGAGGAAAGAGATAATGAAACAATGGCTTCGCTCAAAGATTTTGTTTTAAAGACTATCTTCAAGGACAAACTGGGGATTAAGGTAACAAGTATGAGACGTATTCAAAGATCTATAGGAAAATGGCCAGCAAATCTTGCCCTGTCATCTTAACACAATTTGATGTTATTGCAAAACGTAACGTCATGAAAAGACGCTCGTAAACTCAAGGGGTATCGGTATCTCTGTATCATTTAATTATTCCAAATAAGTACAAACAATAATGAGGAACCTTTGGATGACTGTGAATGATTCAAGAGTAAATAGATAAATACCACACAAGTGCCACGAGGCGAGTATGTGCAGTATTAGTGTGTTTAATTTTACTATCGTCTCCAGTTCTATACTGAATTTCATATTGGCTCCGTCCATGTGCTGAAATATATTTCCGTTTACCATGTAGGAATATACTACATATAAACCTCTTTCGACATAACAGGTAGGGTGCTAAGATTTGTATTTACCAAAATTCACGATTGCCGTTTGTGCATGATATAGTGGCTAGTTCACTAAAACGCTGTCTTTAAGAGAAGATGCGCTAGAAATAAAACATTAAAAAAGCAAATATTTTTTTGTTTTGTTTTTAATTATTCCGTCGCACTTTGGCAAACTTTCATCGAGTGCACCTGCTGGTGGTGCAACGGTAAATAAAAAAAAATGCAATTCGACTTTATTTTGGGGAATATAAACGCCAGGCTCTTTGCCCGAAACACGTGTAACCTAATTATAAATAAACAAGTGCTAACAGAAATAATAATTAAAAAAAAAAACCTGGTGAGCTGGTTGACTTTCAACACTGCGGTTTTGAAAGTACTTTCGCTCTGACGACAAGCGATTTTTAATTGCCAAGTTGCCTAGAGACGTGCAAATGGTCACACTACAAAAATACTAAATTTAAATAATCCGAGGTGCGTTCATTAGTTGACATTAAAATACTGCAATTTGAGTCACCAAGTGTTTAGCTTAAAATGTTTGTTGCTAATTATTGCGAAGGAAAAATATTTTAAGATGATACTTGATCCCGTCGCTTCAAGTTTTGCAGGGTCAGAATGTTCATCAGGAAATATGTCGAAATGTTCCAGTCGGTGTAGCACAAATGAATAACTTCGCTCATTAAAAATGTGACGTTCAAAGCCCAATGAGAAAAAAAGTAAATTTATAAATAATTTTAAGATCTACGTTAACTCGCGGCTACATTCTTATTGATATGTAGATCACGATACCAAAGAAAACATTGAGAAATTTATGATAACTAGCTGTTGGGCTCATGTATCTTGGGGGCTTATCTGTACTATGCGCGCGCGCTCTTCAGTACTTAGGAGTTAAAATAAAGCATTTTCCTCGTGTACCACTCCATGTGAGTTCATCAAATTAATTGTATAGTGCTTACACTGAGACGTTGAAAGTCGACATATTATTCACTATTTATGTTTCCGGAGTAGTTCCCAGTAGGTGGCGGGTTTTCTTATTTTATAGTGCAGCTCTTATTCGCCCGTTTTCGTCTTGAGTACCGTCGCCGTCGCCGTCACCGTCAGCGTAACTGCGCGTTGCATTATGAGACGTTTCCTATAATGACGTCACACGTGACGTCACGAGGGTCACGAGTGACGTCGCTTATAAATGCGCGTTGTATTATGGGACGTTTCCACAATGACGCCACACATGACCTTACGTGTGACGTCACAAAAGTCACTGGGCTCCGAGTGACGTCACGAAGGTCATTCGTGAAGGTCACGACCTTCACGTGACCATCACTCTTGGAGGTCAAGACGAAAGTCACGCCCTTTGTATTGAAAGTCACGACTTTCACGAGGCCTGCACGAGTGACGTCACGAGGTTCACAATGACGTCACGAGGGTCACGAGTGACGTCACGAGGGAGGGAGGGATGGGAGGCGGAGAGTAGGAGGGGCAGAAGGAAAAGAGGAGGAGAAGGAGAGAAGAAGAGGTAACGGAGGAGGAGAAGGGGCATACTTTCCTTTCCGTACCCTCCCCTCCTCCTCCTCAAGAGCTGCGCTCTAATTTGGCATTACGAGGAGTTGTAAAGGTCTTTAATTTTTTTCACAGCCATTATCAGCATTCCATAGTTTCAAAGGTTCTGAATAAATAGCTTTCTACTAATATTAATTTGAATCACGTTTGTCTGAACGTGTCTTGAATTTTATCATGTGTATTTTTATTTCTTACTTATAGCATTCTTGTGGATGTGCGCAAATCAGAAAAATTGTGTTTTTTGGGGCCATTTAAATAACGATTATTATTATTATACCGGTTCACTTTGGCTGGAAAGGCAGAAAAACAACTAGTAGTACCGAACAGTGCCAAGAGCGTAATGCACCAGCAATTTCGAGTTGCCCTCGTTTTGACGTAGGAACGATAACTTCCATTTCTGAAAAAAGTGCGTCAGGGGCAACGCGAGCGGCGGGGCTAGAAAGGACTGTCTGGTTTTCGTGCCTCTATCGAAGATTTCAAGCGAACTGCTTCGGTAGGCACGGACTGCCGTCCGGATTCTATCATTTCGCTAATGGAACACTTAGCGGAGTTGACTCACGGATGCGCATCTCGCGAGAATACATTAGTTGGGATAATGGCTCTGTCGAAGAAGAGGAGAAAACTCAAACTAGAGCACCCTACAATGCTTAGACCTGTTTTTCAAACTCTGTTATTAGCTTTAATTTTTGTTGTTCTGAACGCCACTGCGCACCATCTCCAGAGAAGCAGGGGAGATGTTCAACGATTCTGGAGCATTTCAGCTCAAATTTATTATATATCTTACGTACTACGTGGGTGACTTTTGTTTATACTTTGTATGGTTTACGAAGAATCACAATTCCGGAAGATCAAACTGCCCATAGCACTCGTTGTAACTGTACGATGTGATTCTAAATCGCCCAGATAATGCAGGAAGTACAGCAAAGTTCTTGAGATATCTTGTTAGCTTTAATTTTGTTACATTTTCTCTTAAGTATTTATTTTTGAAAAATTCACTGAAAAAGAGTATATGGTCATATTAAAGCACTGTTGCGAACGGGTGCTCATAGGCTTCAGAGATGTTTCCTTGAATACAACCTACAGTTTTGGTTATAAGTTATCACTGTAAACAACGCGTTCGAAAAGTTATAGAATTTGTAACAGTTCAGAATTGTTTAAACTACTTTTTTCAAGTTTGTTTGTATTTACTGCAACCTGTGGGCTCACCTTTACTTAAAAAATAATTGATGGCCAATAATTCTTATTTATCTATTAGACTTTTCAGACACTGCCTTTTTAGCATTTCGTCACTAACACACTCTATTGCAGTAATGTGTGCGACATTTTTAACAATAGAAAGCCTCCATGGCTCATGTCAAAACGAAACGTTTTGATGAAGCGTAGAGATGGCAGAGACATTTGTTTTCCGGGTTATTTAAATGTATTTTTTAAAGAATAATTAACCGTATATTATATTGATTATTAAGGTTTTCTCTTTTGGCTGCCGGGCAAGAGAGTGAGAATGTTTTTTTTTAGTAATTAACTATTTTGAATCGCACTGGAACACTGTTTATCTTTAAAGGGCTTTTTTTCTTTATCTTATTGTATTAACAACGTGCATAGTTCATATGTCTAATAACAAGAGCAATGAGCGGTATACCTTAAATGCCCATGGAAATAAATTGGAGTTTGTACTGAATAATGGACATTTGCTTATGGTATATCACACCAGTGGTGATGATACAGTCGAAAATCCAAGACATGTTTTTCATCGACGGAACGAAATAAAACAGTCCCAACAAATGTACCTAAGTATGGGGAGAAGGTGACTGTTGTTTGACAACAGATTTGAAAATGAAAAAAATAATAGCCCTGGCTTATGTCTACGAACGTAAAGACACAGACTGGCACGACAGCCTTCAACCATCAGTTATATTTTTTCTTTCAACATGCACTCGGCGGAGTCGTGTCAGTGTGTGTCTTTCCTATGAAAACCACCTTTTGCCAAAAAGAAAGAAAGAGAAAAAGCACACGGGTAAAAAGTTTGTTATTGAAATACCTTATCGCTTCCAGAGAATTTTGTCAATCCCGAAACACGTTCACAAGAAAACATGTAATTTTCCATTTAGCGTTTTTTTTTTTCTTTAAAGGAGCAGTGCAACCTTTGCCACATGCGGAGGTTTGTAGATGTGACAGGCGTTTCCGCTCGGCGAGACTAGCGCTTACCACACTTTCTCCACCAAACCTTCAATGTGAGCCGAGTCCTACAAAGAATGCTCTTTCGCAATCTTATAACATCAGCGTCCGTAGATGAGTTGCAAGATAGTCGTATTAAAGAGTGTTTTAGTAGGAATACTGAGGTACAAAATGTTGAGCAAAGTTTTGGCTGGAAGGTGAGTCGGTTCGAAAATGATTCATCGAGTTTAAATACAACCACTTCATGATTCTGAAAAAAAACAAAAAAAAAAAAAAAAACAATAGAAAGTCAGCACTTACCAAATGGTGACGGCTGTGTCCTTTTTTTGTTCAATCGCGACGTTCTGCAACAAAAAAAGTAAAACGACCGAGTTTAATTTAAAAAATACTCGGAGTTTCACACAATTAAAACGATAATTAGCTGAGGTTATTATCCCCCTTCAACAAATTTAGTGGAACGCTGAAGTGCGAGTCTGTTATCAAATTCTGAATCAATCACTTTGATCAGTGATCTAGTTTTGACTTTCTTTTTGCTGTCGTTTATTGTTAGTTGAAACCCATATATCGCGCTCCGAGCATGCACTCTAGCATTCTTCTAAAAAAATCTCACGAGCTGCGAGAGCGTTCAATGCTGTGGGACTTATGTCAGTGGGCCGTGTCATTAAAAAGCTCTATACACGAAAGCAGTCAATATTACTGTTAATATTCGTAATATAGAGTATGCGAAATTACGAAATGTACAAAATGTAAAGGCGCAAACGAGCTTTTGTACATTGCACATGGTTGAAAAAACCCTGAAACTGCGGGTAAACAGCACAACACTAAAAAGTCTATAAGACAGCTAAAATTTTTACTTTTTCCGAAACCTGGTAATATAGG